GCTAGCGCAAGCCAGTGATGTCAAATCCACCCTCATAAATTTAAGCGTCCTGTGCTCGGTATCTCATAATGATCATACAAGGTGGTCCCCGGCTATGTATTGTGTTTTGAAATTATCTGTCACTGTATGCCATTTAGTAATCATGGAGCAGTGGTCTGGTGAGCAGCGTGTATTTGTGATTAAGTCGTACTATAAAAACAATATACTGTGTGGTTGCCGCTCAGAGACATTTCCGACTTTATTTCCAAACTGGGTAACATGGCAGACTTCCTTCGGCTCATGCTATAAAGGAACGGGTTTGTAAATGTGAATAAACAGGTTCAACTGTCAATGTCAAACGTAAAGGACCAAAGAAAAGTGTACGAACGCCTGAAAACATCGATCGTGTAAGAATATCTGTGGAACACAGTCCAAAACGTTCAACCCGAAAACGAGCCCAAGCGTTAAGAATTTGTAAGAAATCTTTACTTCGAATTTTGCATAAAGATCTTCACTTCAACCAACAGACATCCTGGCTCGCGATTCCTTTTTGTCCTAAAGCCAGCAAATTATATAAAACACCTAGACATCATAACAGATAGCTACCTAAAATGGGCCAAGCAAATAGAAAGGTTAACGAAGAAATTAAGGTGTCTTATACCAAAATTCAAATTTTTTAGGGAAATTATTTCTGATAAAGACTTATGCACCATATACAAAACGTTAGTACAACCATTGTTAACTTATGGAATTTTGGCATGGGGACCGGTGTTGAATAAATATTATCGGAAACTAGAAATAACTGCTATATAAATGCTATTCTTAAAATCATATTCCACAATACGGGTATCCAAGATCTGTGATTTTAGGCAACTCTATCTTGAGAGTATGTTCACGTACAATTTGTTCACTTGTATATTCATAAATTGTATAAATAATGTGAATAAATAAATAATTATAATCCACGCTGGTGAATTGGCTTCGCAAAGTTAGCTGACATATAGATAGACGAGAGCTAGATCATTGACTCTTAGGTCCGTATCGTCAGTCGTTCCTACAATTGTAGGGCGCGTTTATGGCCTCCTTGATTGTCATACTCCTTTCTCTCCTTCAAAATTTCTAGATTACACTTGTCTCGTGTCAGCGTCAGCGCTCTTCTATTGTGAAGATATGTTTTCTTTTTAAATTGTAGGAAATTTCAGGCTGAAAACATGATATAACTCGAAAGCAAGCACAACTTGATGCAAATAGATGTTTGTGACATAACCTCAAAATAGAGTTCTGACACGGAGAAGTAGAAAACTATGACAATCAAGGAGGCCATAAAGGCGCCCTACAATTGTAGGGACGACTGACGATACGGGCCCTAGTCTTCCTAGTCTTCTTGCAACGCTCTACCATACAACAAAGCTAAACGTAAACGCTTCTTGTAAACTAAGATGTCTTTATAAGGATTGAGATTTGAGGATTTTTATGTTTTTGAGATATTTTTTGTTTTCTGCTCAAGTAGGTGAAAATCTGACGATCGTCACCTACCAGTGGTTTGACAAGCTGATCCTAGTCCTTATCCCATACGATGAACATGACGGCTCTGGGTAATATTTCCTCTACGTTCTGCGCTATGAACATATACATATATGGTGCACCACCATTACGGTCGATCCGGCAAGTCGAATTGGTTAAGTACTCAGCAAAGCAATTTAGCAATGGCTTATACGATGGGATGACGGATGAGGATGAAATTTAGCTTGGAAAACCATTGGTAGGTGGCGATTTTCACTTACTTGCAAACAATGCTTTGAGTATCTCAAAAGACCATAACCAACTACGCTGGCTTTCCGTTCCTCTGTCTCCAAGAATAGATCTACACTGCAATGATAAGTTGCTAACGAGCACGAAACAGTGCTGTCGACTGTTGGTTATGGTTACAGAGACGGAAAGCAAGCAAGTCCCATTTGAGCTTCTTGTGATCTTATTATTCTTCTACCAAAGCAGGGATTTACAAAAAAATGTTGCAGCATATTTAATGTACAATCTCCTTGAGCTACAACAAGATAGGTGGATCATTCAGCTTCGTTATAATTGCTCTCAAAGAACAATTAGAAAGAGCGAACAAAAAAGGGAGTGGCAATTTTTTCTTCTGCTTTCCTATGTAATTACGAAAGAGAAACAATCGGGTTCTTAATTTTATTTGACGTTTACTTTAGCCAGATGTGGTAAGAAAAGCGAAAACCTCCCTGCGTGAGCTGTATTTAATATAAGGGCGTAGCTGTATTTGCTTTGCCAGAAATTTTACCAATATCTAGAAAGCTCCGAATTCCATCTGGAGAATTTTTGTAATTACAGGGGCTTACCTTTGTGTTCTTTTCATACATAAAACAGGAGAAATGTAACTTTACGGCTTTTGAATATCTGATGGAAATATCTTTGTCCATGTTTTATACATGTATTAATTGTATGGAAATCCTTATAACAATATTACGTAAATGCGATAGTGTGTAAGTATATATGTTCTGTTTTCACGCCAAACCGGCAGAAACGATTTTGAAGAATTTTTGGCACGGATAGAGGTTGGACCATCGAGACGGAAATGGAACCCTAGGGATTGAAATAGGGGATAAAAGTACAAATGTTCTTCAAGATAGAGACACGGATATGGGTATACATATTCGGTTTCTTGATATAATTTTGATGAGCTAACATTCTTGCAGGTTAAGAACATTGAATATCCCAAATGAGGTCAGCACAGAAGTATGGGTATGTTTTGTCTATAACTTCATATTTTAGATAAAAAGAACATTAAGGAAGAATTCCAGAAACTACCTCCCTAGGAAGGGGTACGAGCCTTACTACTTTTCAGTTTATAGATATGTATCTCGAAAACTATATATTTGACTTGTAAACATGAAATTCAGAATGGTTCGTGGCTAAGGGCAGATATACAGGGTGTGCCAAAAATAACATGTCAGAGTGACACGGGAGGCTGCAGATCAATTAGATAAAATCAACATGACCTTAGTAAAAGTTTTCTAGTTTTCGAGATATTGTCACCTTTAGGTTTTTTCGAAAAGTCACTACTTTTTGATCCTTTTTTGCCTGTTATGGCTTATTAAGAATTTCTAACTTATGAGTTTTTTCCTGGGCTAATAGTTAGTTGAGACAGCCGAGTATTCATTTCATCGAAAACTAGCACCGTGTGCTAAAAAAAATTAATACATTTTGTTTCAATGTGAAAACCTTTACTAAAGTTTGACTAATTACTGTGAAAAAATGTACCAGACTGAATCGGTAAATCATCTAAAAAACTAGCCTACTTAATGCTCTTTTAAAAATGGTATAACATTTGTAGGTTCTTTCTACTACATATTGAATAATTCCAAGTTTTATCATTGAAGTCGTAATACTTGCGAAATACTGCCAATAAAAAATAAGTTCAGCAGTCTTTTGTCTCCAAATCACTAAGGAATAAAGTGGCCTAAATAGCGAAAGAGCTAAGTAACACGTGTGTAGCGCTAACACAAGGAGCAGTACTAAATTAACCGCACCGCATGCGCAGGTACCACACTGTTCCTCGAGGTGACATAATGCTACTGACCGAACAATGAATGTGAAAGCGAGATAGTCAATGACTTGTTTAGGTTGTTTCATTACTTAAGGGTTTGGATACAAAATATGGCTGCACTTATTTTTTATTTGTGGTATTTCACAAGTATTACGACTTCAGTGACAAAACTTGGAATTATCCAGTTTTTAGTAGAAAAATCTACCTAGTTTTTAAGATCATTTGCCGATTCAGTCTGGTACATGTTTTTCACAGTAGTTAGACAAATTTTAGTAAAGGTTTTCACATTGTAACAAAATGTCTTATTATTTTTTTAGCATACCGTGTTAGCTTTCAATGAAATGAATACTCGGTTGTCTCAACCAACTATTAATGGTAGCCCACGAAAAACCCCATAAGTTAGAAGTTCTTGAAAGCCATAACAGGCAAGAAAGGAGCAAAAAGTGTTGATTTTATCTGATTGATCTGAAGCCAATCTACCTCCCGTGTCACTCTGGCGTGTTATTTCTAGGTCACGCTGTATATAAAACCGTCTCGAAAATTATCTCACCTATGAATATAAATTTGGTAGACAGGTAGCTTATGGGAGGATCGGCCAGTAAGAGCAGATTTTACGGCAAGGCTAGATTAAGGAGGCCAAGGGCAGATATATGTCAAAAGGTGAGGACGAATTTTGTGAGAGAAACCCTATTAGGAACATTAAAGGGTACAGGCGAATTTGTTTTAAATTCTTTGGATTTATCTGCTGGATACCAAAAATTGAATACAATGAGGTTATTTAGAGTAGACTTGAACTAAGAATGGATTTTGTGGCATGGAAGAACAGTGGTTTAAGGACTGACACAATATTTACGTTGGTAGCTATATTTACAATGTAAAATTTGGTTTAATCTGTGTTATTCTTAAAATGTTCGTTATTTCAACGATTTTATGTGAATGAAGTCACGGGTGATATGATGAATCAGTTCCCTAAAATGACTCAACAGCGGGTAGTATTAGACTTTCATAATCAAATTCATGGTACCTTTATTTAAAGAAGTAAGTTTTTTTTTGTAATAGAAAGCCAGGTATCTACAGGGTGGTAAGAAGTACATCGAAACGTAACAAAAAAGGTTTTTATACACATAGGTTCTCCGTGTTGCAAGTTTCTCTAATGAAGAAAGTACTATAATACTTGTCTAATTATATTCTGGTAGTATGTTAGTTTCTCATTCAAAGTACACCAACTTTAGCATGCTTTTAAGGTTAAACGTTTGAAGCTTTTTGTCACTCTTTATAGATTTCACAACTCCTGCAGTTATGCGCAATGCTACATAAGTTAAACTCGTTTAATGCGGAAATTCTGTTCTATGATTGTGCTACATTCATAATGGAAACTGCCAGTAAATTAGGTTAATTTACCCATTATTTCAAAGCCAGACAATGCACAGTATTAAACTGAATTATTTCATACATACAGAGAGGAACCAAGCTCTGTTGTTACATTCCCCAGATGAGATACGATTTCCCACTGAACATATGGTAAGCTTAACAGCTGGAAGAATCAGATTATCTCTTTTCAGGTCTCAAAATTGCGCTTATAGATTAAATTATTTTACATGAAGAAGATTGCAGTTTTCTCAACAGGTGGCGTGTTTTTTCTCAAAATGAACTACCGATCATAAGGTCAGCTTCATAGACACCCCTTAGTGTGTTAAATTCTTAAAGAATCAACATGAGAGGACGGAGGTAGGCGTGTAGACAATATCTGTGGCATATAATCCATCAAATAAGAAAAGTTAATATCTTAAGCTACTCTGGAATCTACAACGCCGACCAGGCAAGTTTGACTGATATAATTTATTTCCAAGATCTGCCGGTGATATGCCAATATGCGGACACTGAAATAAAAAGTATTTCTCTTCCTTTATTAAGCTTAACTATAGGTAAGCCCCTCTAAGAGGGAAGTTAACTATTAACGTGTATAACAAAGGATTTTAGTGGATCAAGTCGGTCAAACCAGCCCATACACCTAGTCTTCATCTATTTGAAAACGTTACGATCGGCAACTGATTTTATTAAATAAACTAGCTCCAACGATGCGAGGAAGCGATGTATCCAACAAGTTTGAGCAGTTCTATATTTTTCTATATTATGGCATAGTAGTAACCCTTTATCTAGGGCTTCGCAGGACGAAAGACCAATACTATGTTCCAAACTCTTGCAGTCCTGCAAGTACGAGTACTATTTGCCCAAAACATTGATATCTAACAATTTCCCAATTTAATTTGTTGAATGCTTCTATAAGTTAAGATTTAAAATATCAAGCAAATATAACGGCGGCACTTTCTTGGAGGTGCCTATTAACTGCATAGTTGTAAAATTATAGGTTACAACCTTCGTTCGCACCCAGTTTTTCGCACAGATTTCTGCAAATCTTATAGAAGTATTTATTTTGCAGCTTCCTCGTAACCAGACATGCTGTATGTTGTTATGTTTTGAATATATTTTTTTTTTCAGATTTATACGAGTGATGATCACAAGTAGTTTTTACATACAACATACTGTTTATTGGCAAAATGACATGAAAATTGTTTACAGGCGAGCAGTATAAATACATGTACGTATTTATTGTATAGATATAAAAAAATATATTATTTGTGTTTTTTGAAATAAATGCAAAAATTCATCAAATACATGATAACCTGACAAGTGCTTTATTTTGGTTTCGACTGACTTTAATTAGCATATGCTCAGTCAATTATGGGACACCCTTCGACATTGTAATATTACTATTAATCAAAATACATACAAAAACTCTTATTCTAAATTACAAACCTTGAGCTTTTTACCACTGAATTTAAATCTTACAAGTCAGAAGTAATTATCACTAAATCCCATTAATATTATTATAACCGATTTTCAAAATAATCAACTCAGTGATGTTAAAAGATGTATGCCAAAAAAGCTGCTAACTTTACACATTCTATATCACTTCTATTCACTATGATTAAGCATCAAAAGTAACATGGAACTATTTCAATCGACGATCAAAATTTGCAACACGAAGGCCAAGAACGAGAGTTCAAAAATTTTGCAAGGCCTTCTGATATGTTGCAAGATCAAGACCACAACCAGGCAAGTGTTGGTCTTAATCTCGGTCTTGTGAAGCCCTATCTTTGTGAAGGTTTCATCAAAATGCAAGCTTTACCTTCCGAAATATAGAGGGGTCAATGATCAGCCGACAGATACATGTAGATTGGCAGACCCACGACCGATAGATAGACACACCGACAGGAGATGAGTGGTGTGGTTTTCCTTGTACGTGTCGGGTAACATCCAAAGAAAACATATCCTGTCTTCGATTATTTTTTCGTAATCACAACACCTCCTTGCCAATTTACGTAGTAAGTAAGAAGAGAAACAAAAAGTGTTCACATTTCTAGCAGCTTTTGTCGTCTGCTTTGGTTGATTTTGATTGTTTCAAATCATTGGTAGAGGATAATGACTTGCACATAGTTGGTGTATCCGAAACGTGACTCTCTGATAATATCCCTTTAGATGTTGTTAGCATAAGAGGTTTTAACTTATTTAGATGCGATAGGCATGACCTTTATCGGATAGACTGGGAAAGCATACTTTACTTCAGCGACATAGGAAGCAAAGTTGAGTTTTTGACATCAAACTTATTGTCACTTTTTGACTTGCACTGTCCTGAACGAACAGTACGAGTCACAAAGCCAAAAGCGCCTTGGCGTACTGCAAACGTACAAATGTTATTCAGGGAAAGGGGTGAAGCTCTCTCCAAATATAAAATGGATCCATCAGAAGAAAACTGGAACAGCTATAAAAGCCTCAGAAATTACTGCTTGCTAGCATTACGCAAAGAAAAATCAGCCTATTTGGAACATCTACATAAAAATAAAAACTCTAAATCTCTTTACAAATCATTGAAACAAATGCACATACAAAGTAATAAAGAGCCTCCGAACATTCCGGTCCACCTTTCCAATCCATATAAAGTGAATGATTACTTTACCTCAATTTCTAAGAATAGTGATGAACAACGTATTGACAAAATAATTCATTATCGTAACAACAGACATAGTTTTGACAGGTTTTCTTTCAATTTAATTGACTTGACAAGCTTAGCATCTATAATCAGTCATATTGGTTCCAATGCATCTGGTAATGACGGAGTTACGTTGCGAATGTTAAAATTATGCTATCCCGCTTTAAATCTTTATTTGTTGCATATCATCAATCTATGCTTAGAGAGAGGCTATTTTCCAAGCGCGTGGAAAACAGCAATGGTAAAACCACTCGCTAAAACCTCGAATCCTTTGTCATTTGTCGACCTACGACCGATAAGTCTTTTGCCTCTTCTATCCAAAATACTGGTACGCGCAGCTTATATCCAGATTTACGAGTACTTAGACAAAAATAATATTATAAGTGTTCATCAATCGGGTTTTAAAAAAAATCATAGCACTACTACGGCTTTACTGGACTGGATCGATGGCATAATTTCCGCGCTTGACAATAAAAACTTGTGTGCTCTTGTCCTTTTAGATTTCTCGAAGGCATTTGATACATTGAATCACAAACTGCTTGTAGCCAAATGTCATTACTATGGCTTTGATGATCTTGCTAGTAAGCTCATCAAGTCATATTTAAGTGATCGGTCGCAAGTGGCTGTGGTTGATGGTCAGATGTCTTTGCCACATAAAGTTCAGTCCGGAGTACCTCAAGGCTCCGTCTTAACTCCATTGCTTTTTTTGTTATACACCTCGGATCTTCAAGATACTGTCAAGCACTGTCATGTGCAATTCTTTGCCGATGACACTCAGGTAAAGTATGATTTTCCAGCCTCACGCTACTCTGAAGCCCAAGACCAAATCAATGAAGATTTTTCAAGTATTAGCCGCTATTGCAAGTTACATAACCTCAATCTCAACCCATCGAAGTGTAAAGCCTTGCTATTTGGTAATATCAAAATAAGAGCAAATCTTATAAGCAAAATTGACGTTCAAATCGAAGGAAAAATCATCCCTTATTCAGAATGTGCCAAAGATTTGGGCTTACATTTAGATGAAGACCTGAGGTTTGAAAAACACTTACAGCACGTTTTGAGGCAATGTTACGGTTCGCTCCGGCTTCTATTCTATTCTATTCTATTTGCAAACAATTGCATCACTGGTAAGTAATTGAAAAAACAGCTATGTGAAAGCTTGGTATTGTCTAAGATTTCGTATGGGCTAATAATTTATTACCCCTGCCTAACTGCTGCGAATAAAAGGCGTCTACAGATAATGCAAAATATTTGTAGTAGGTACATAAATAATTTGAGGAAATTTGATCATATATCGCATACGTATTCTGACCTCAATTGGTGAACTATAGATAATCTATACAAATATTCTGTTATAAGTTCTGTGCATCGTATTTTACTATCCGCATCACCCCCATACCTGTTTGAAAAATTTATTACCAAATCCAGCACGCATAATATTAACACAAGGCATCAGGCTTTCTTTATACTGCCAGTCCACCGTACTGTTTTATATTCAAGAACCTTTATTTACAATGCCGTTAAATATTACAACAGTATTAATTTTCATTTTAAAAATATTGCGAATATTAAAACTTTTAAATTAAAATTGAAGTCCAATCTTCTCTCGCAAACATGAATTGCCACTTATATTTTTTTTTATTGGTTAATGATGGTTGATTTTAAAGAAAATCCCTTTGATCACAGTTTTGTTGGTTTAAAACAAACCGATTTAAATGTATGTACCATAGTTAATGTCATCCATTTCTATGTAATTTCGTATAAATTATCAAAACGGGGTTAGGTGGAAGAATAGCTCACGCTAAACCTCGCCCCTCGTAATGTACTAAATGTTTAGTGCAATAAAGACCCTTTATTATTATTATTATTATAATTGGATTTACGAATTATTAGGCAAAATATTATGAATCAAGATTTTTCATATCGTTAAGTGTTTCATCACAAAGTTAACTTCGACTTGAGAGATAAGACTGATAGACGACACAGATTCATCCGCATTTTTTTTTCTGAGAATGACCCGAAGAGCGACTCTTTTATCAGTGCTGAAGTGATAGAACCGCGCCCATATTCTACCAGTAGAACACTCCTTCGTTTTCAAGAATCAGATAGCGTGCGATCTTCCCATATGCGCCATCGAACATTCGGTGAGTTTAACAACAAAAATAAAAAGCTATTTGTCAATGTTGAAAGCTTATATCCGTGACTGAAACCAATCTCGCCCTAAATGGAATATCGGAGTGGAAGATCCCCTTTCATTTTTTGTTTTTCACTCAACACATAGAAGTCTCTAATCTCGCACACCTTTGAAGGATCCCCATATCCCATTGTTCATACGTCCTTCTTCAGCTTTCAGAAACTTTTTCATTGTCTGGCATCAGCCCTATCAACATCAGTGTGTGTTACTGCCACCAGAAAATACGCAAGACATGGGCGGATACGGAACTTTCAGAGAGGAAAAAATGCATAAATGTATAATTTGAAATAATTGAGGTTTCAAATCAAGAGTCACCTAAACTTTAACGGTTTTAGGAGAGTTTATAAAAACACAAGTGAAGCCAACTCAGCATTCTGAGGTAATTGTGGATGCTGATTTCGAATATGGCCATTAAAAATGGTAATGCGTCGCCAAATCATATATGGAGTAAGATAACTCGGACTTTGCAGTTTCTCGAATATGCCACCCTAATCCTGTTGATATCCCCAATTTAGAGATGCGCGAGCCAACATCATTATGAGTCACGGTACTGCGATTGCCCATCAGATGAAAACAGAAGGTAATCAAGAACGAAGAATTTACACATAGTTTACCGTTACATGAAGACTATGGTATTGTCAGAAAAATGGAAGCTTTTCATGTTTGTCCAATAAAGAGCAAAAATCAGATTAAATTAAATATATCGTGCATTATAAAGGGAATAAACAATCGAAGAAGCTTTCCCATGCAGCTGCTATGATCTTTTAGATATGGTTTATCACTATCTAGATCATCTAACTGATGTAACGCTTTCTTCCCTCAGGGTTACTGAAAAAAATAAAATGTTACGATCTTACTGCTTTAACGTTCATAGCTATAAGGGATCAGTAAAAACCACCGGTACTCTGTACTTCAAGCCGTGAATCATCTTTTGCTGCATGGACATACTATTATTGGGGTTCATCTATCTAAAAAGGTATCTAGAGACCAAAATAAGGATTACAGGTCATTTAAGGCATTTTATCATATTTACTTCTTTGCTCTGTTCTGACTTTTGCATTGAACCTAATACAAAATGGTAATTCTATAGGAGCCAAGCCTCCTTAAAATTTGCGTACTTCGTATTTTTAAATACAACGTCGCGGATTTTTAGTATTTGCCTCGCTTGTGAAAGAATGTTTCAAAAAGGTTTGGTGGGCTCTTGCCGATGATTGGCCCTCCCTGCGGACCGCCTGTTCTGAAGGTGATATCTAATTCTAGCTCAGCTTGCTTATGTTTACTAGCAGCTCTGAATAGTAGTTGGGGCATTTTCTTTGTTTACAGCCAAAACATAGAAGATACTCATATAACAATG